AAAAAACAGCCCCATGGTTGGGCCACGGCCGAGATGTCTCGGCCACACCCCAGACTGGCCACGGCCGAGATGTCTCGGCCACACCCCGGACTGGCCACGGCTGAGATGTCTCGGCCACACCCCAGATTGGCCACAGCCGAGATGTCTCGGCCACAGCCAGGCACTACCCTTCACAGGCAAACGCGAAGTCTCAAGACTCTGAAGAAGTGGGGGGCTCGGGGCAGGGATGGAGGCCAACAAAAAAAAAAAGAAAAAAAAAAAGTAAAGAAACGAGGAACTTGGAATCCACCTACGTCGTGAGGAATGTATCTGGCCAGGAAGTGAGGAACATGAAACAGGTCGATTTCCTTTTTTGTTTCTTGCTGTGAGGTGGCTGTAGCGCCCTGCCAGCCAGGCAGGGCTGATTCCACGCTTCATTGAGTTCAGGCAAGTACTGTCGCATCCTGTATCTGACCGCAATCCCAGGATAAGGTATGTTTTTTTTTTTGGTTTTTTTTTTAATCGGCTGTTCGTGGATAGACGAGGGCCCTGACTGAGGGCCTCGTTAGACACTCCTTGAGGACGTGAAATCCACAAGGATGGGGACGTGAAATCCACAAGGATGTGCTCATTCCACCTGTCCTTGGGGACGAAATTGAAAAAGAAACGTGAAAAAGCCACAAGGAAAATTCCTTGTGGCATCCTTGTGGCCCCAGCCATTTCTTCCTTGTGCCCCTTGGGCACTCGGAATCCGCGTTTCACGGAGAGGAGAGGGCACACGGGTAGATAGACGTTACAGCTGAGAATCTGGATCGTGGCAGCACCCTATTGGCTGACAGCCTGAAGCACAACTGTTTTTTTTTTTTCTTCTCTTTTTCCTCTGACATCAGTCTTAGGAAATGTCCTCGGGCGACGTCCCCGAGGACAGGTGGAACGAAGAGCCCAAATTCCCTTACGAGCCAAAGGAAAATTCCTTGTGGTGCAAGGAACTCGTAAGGAGTGTCTAACGAGGCCCTGAATTGCATAGGGCCGAGTTTCAACTGCAATTGAAACTCGGGCCGAGTCTCAACTGCAATTGAAACTCAGGCCCTGACGAAACTGCTAATACGCAGTTTCGAATGCAATTACAAACTGTTTTGGTGACTGCGCCGAAGTTACCCCTAAAAAAAAAAAAAAAATCAGCCTTCCGCTGTATTGGTTAAACCACCAGTACCTATTGGTTAAACCACCAGTACCTACGGGTTGGGGCGGCCGTTAACACAGAAGCCGAATCGGCGAGGCCAGGGGGTACGAATGCAGTCGGTACTGGTGGTTTAAGTGCTACACAACTGTGAAACCACCAGCTTTTGCAATTCACAAGGTAGGGGCACAATTAATTTTCTTCCACTTAACCATTCCATCCGGTTAGGACCAGATTTTTCTGAACTGACGCTGGGATTTCACTTTCTCCGCCCCCCCCCCCCCCCCCTCTCCCCCTTTTATTTCTCTTTCTTCTTTCTCCCATTTCTATTTCTTCGCACTTGAATCTCCCTTCCTAGATGCCCTTCACAGAATTGCAATCAGGAGAATATTATGAAAAAAGGAAAATACAAAGAAAGAAAGAAGAACAAGAATCACAATTGCGAGCCAGAAAGAGAGAACGAAGTCCAAATTTCCAAGCCAGCAACCCCAGACTCCCAAAAAACGGAATAAAAAAGGAGCTCGCATCTCCTTCATAGATGACTGCCTTCTAGAGTTCGCCCCACTCCGAAAAAAGGGGCCCGTCACATGTATGAAGGAGATGCGAATATGGTATGAATGAGTACTCGTCATTCTGAACACCGCCGACAAGATACCCAACCCTAATCCCAAAAGACAGGTCATGACAGACTTCTGGATCTCCTCAGGTTCCATGAACTTCATCCATCCCCATCTGCTCTCTCTCTCTCTCTCTCTCTCTCTCTCTCTCTCTCTCTCTCTCTCTCTCTCTCTCTCTCTC